ATTTTGTTCCAATTTTATAAGCTCCTGTCACCATAAGCCACAAAAGTCTTCGGGCTTATGTTTTTTTACAGACTGGGCAAATGTGAATTTCCCAAACAGCCATTCGAGTCTTCAACAGCCAGGTGAAAGAAGGCATTCTGAAGGAGATTAAACGCATCACTTAAGATAGTATGCGGTTGCAAATGTTTTCATATTTGTTGAAGAGCAATTTTTTTTTTTTTAACGGAGCCTGAGTCATTTTCATGTATACTTTTTACCTAATATATTTTATTGTTCAATATTTCAAATGTTCAATTCTGCTCAGAGTGTGCTTTAATCATTTTTGCTCTAAAGGGTCATCACTCATACAGTGACATTAAAAAAATAAGATATATAAATACTGTAGTTCATCATGTTAATTTCTGGGAGAAAATATTTTCCTGAAAAATGCATTTGTGTGACAGGCCTACCGACACAGCCTACCGACACAGCATACTGCAGGGATTCGCTGATCAAAAGTATGAGTCCCATTATGCCTTTAGAGAGTCCCAAATTTCGAATTCTGAAATGGTCTACTTATTCAATTGCACATGTTAATAACACAAACGACAACAATATACATTGATAATAGGTTTATTTCTTACAAACAAATGCTGCAAATTGTTTAATAATTCAGGCATACAAGATTTGCTGAGAAATAGCTTCTTATTTCATCCCATGGTTCAGTCTTTGAGTTCATAAATTCTCCTCTCTTTACTCTGCTTCCAATGATGCAAGGCTTTCTCAAAGTCAACTTATTATGGCAAAAAAACTATACAACTTTAGCTGCTTCCTCTGTGATATCTCCGCAATAAACTTTGGCAACACTTGTTTTAACGTTACACAACTTGGCAATCGTCTGCTTCCCGCCAGGTGAAGGCCGATCTCGCCAATCTTGTCTCGCGAGAACGGAAATCTCATCACGCGAGATTACTTAACGCGAGATCAAAACAACAATGGTGGTGATGGTCAAACTGCGATCGTTGCTGGAAAAAAATAATTTCCGTAGTTTTTTTTTTGTTTTGACTGAGAAATTTCCTTGCGTCCCAAAAACGCACATTATTTGGAACTGTGCGTCCCGCGGGAAAAGTATGCGTCTAGGATGCGGGATGCAGAGGTAACGAGATGGCTGATACTGTATATTAATTCAGGTTCACGATAGCTCCTATTTGAGAAAAGCTGAACTTACATTTAAAGAAAAGAAGGCAGCAGGTCCAGGTGGTGTGAGCTCTGAGATAATCAAGGCCTAAGTTAATGTACACCTCCGAACACTGTCACCTACAGAAGTTCTCACATGCCATCATCAGCCTCATCAAGGATGATGTTGACACAGGGAATGAGGAGTACTGACTCTGAACTTTGCGAACTGGTGTCAATGGAACCACCTTCCCCCACGGGGGCAGAAAAATTATCCCGATGTGGGTGAACATCCAGTGAAAGATCATGAAGAGAGTGGCCTCCTACAAGTTACTTAAGAGTAAACGAGACTGGCCCATAAACACTCACGTGTGCAGATAAGAGGCCACAACAGACTCTACATTCTCAGAGGGCCCTCCAACATTCTATGACTCAATAGCCGTATCAGTCATTTTTCAGGCTGTTGGGGCTGCAGCATTTCAGCTGCTGCCAGAAGAAACTGAGCAGGCTGGTAAGGAAGGCCAGTTGTGCCCTGGGGTGTTCCATCGATAGATTGCAGGTGGTGGAGGAAAGGAAAATGGAAATAAATCTATCATCTTTGATGGACAATTAACTCACACCCAATGCAGGACACCAAAAAAAAAAAATCAATCGATAGTTGATTCAGTGACAGACTCGTTAACCCCAAATGTGTGACGGACTGCAGCTCCCTGCTTCCTGAGGGAAACGAAACTGCTCTAAACAGCTCATAAACAGCATTTCATGTTGTATTATTTATTTTACGCGTACTCAGGTACATACAGCTGTATCATAAAATGCTGCAGCCTATTCTTTATGTTTTTGTACACATTTGCATCTAAATATAGGGCAGCAGTGCCTCACCAGTTTGATCGTTGTCAACCGTTAGTCCCAAGTACTGGTCCCAAGTCGTCCGCAGGGGTTGGAGGGGAAAATGGAATTGTGTGCTATTAATTTTATATATTTCTGTGTTTGTGTACACCACAGGTGTCAAAGTCAAGGCCCGAGGGCCAGATTTGGCCCGCCACATCATTTTATGTGGCCCACGAAAGCAAATTAAGCATGGTAAGTTCCATGATGCTTGTTAAAAGTCTGAACCAAAATTTCAAATTGTCATTTGTAATCCACAATAATAGTCATTATTCTTGAATTCTGATTTTAAAACTAGTTATCCATCAATTTGTTGTGCGCTGTGTATGTAATATGTGGAGGTGATTAAACATTGAGATGGTTTCCCAAAATTCATAACGGCCTTCCAAAGGACACCGTAACTACAATGTGGCCCGCGACAAAAATGAGTTTGACACCCCTGGTGTACACTGTACCCTAAGCATCCTATCAGTTTCAGGTCCACAAAAAGTATTTTAAAAACTAAAATAAAAAAATAGGTCATCTTTAACCTATGGTGGCTCATGACCTGCATCACACAAAATTGTTCGCGGTCGGCAGTCTGCAATTGAGGCAAGCGATCAGACCCGTTGCATTTTAAAACAGCACCTCGAGCTACGATGGTGATGTTTCTGCACTTTATACGCAACAAAAGTGCATCCCTGCCTCCACTGCGATAGGCGGTGATTTCTTTTTTTTTTTAAATTCAGTATTGTCTTGTATCTATTTTATTTTTCTGTTTTGTTCATGTCCGGGTCTCTGTATGTGTGCACGCGTGGATATGTGTCTCCGTGCACATGCAGTAACGGGTCAAAAAACAGTTGGGCATTCCTGATGTAGAGTATTCTCATTTTATATTATTCAGAATTTATCTTGACTGCTGATAATTAATTTAGCTCAGTCTCAACTGCTAATTGTATAGAGCCTAGTAAATTATATGCATTTATTATTTTTGCTGCATACAATGCAAGGCTCGACAGAAGCCAGTTTGAAATTCAATTTGAGAGTTAAAATTAGCATTTTGGAAATATATCTAGACAAGAAAATAGCTTGCTGCTACGCATTTGAGAACTAAAAACTGGAGCTTATTTAAAAACACACACACACACACACACACACAATTGCATGTTTGTTATTGAGTAAATTGTTTTACTTTTTTTCATGCATTCATAATTGGTCTTTAATCAAGCACAAATATTGTTTATCTGAATATTTGACAATTTGATAGAATGTTCAGTAGGATACTTGAATACAAAAACATTGCTGCTACTAACCACCTTGCTACTGTTAAAAAAAAAAAAAAGTCCAGCAAGCCTTAGGTTTCTTCTGGATGGTGTTCAAATGTAAACTCTTGGAGAACTGAGGACCCCATGTCTTATTTTCAAGGCAAAGCAGCATAACACTGCATTACAAGTAGTGTAATGTCTTCAAGGTACTCCTGTGATGACATCAAATAACATTCTAAGACTCCTATCACACATCACACATACTAGGAAAGAAAGAGACAGTTTCACATCATGAAAACCAAACCAACCAACTGAACTGAAGGTCATTTTTTATTACTATTATTATTATCTCAGCAAGTAATAGTTATTTATACTAATTCACCACTGTTGCTAAAATGTACATCAGAGCGCTTTGTTTAAAGGGTCGAGAAACGCTGCTCATCAGAATCAGCAATATCTGACCACAGGCCTGAGACAGCATGTCTCAAGTGATGCTTCTGAGAGAAGATGTACAGGCCAATAACTCACGTGCCCACAGGCATTTAGTAATCATGCATGGTGGCAAAAAAAGAAAGATTGTGCATTGTCTCTTTCAAGCATTTTACCTGAACAATGAGAACAAAAAAAAACATAACCTAATTAAAATTTCATTTGAGAGCTGGTTGCCTCTGGCCAGGAAATCCAATACTTGTTCTAGATTCTGCACCACTGGGAAAGCAAAACCCCACTGCTTCAGAGGTTTCTGTTCTAGCAAAGCATGGAAACGAATATTAATTACAGCTTCAAAATCTTGCTGCCTACATAACAAGACTATTGGTTTTCTGCAGGGGAAATGAACACTGGGGTGAGCATCTATATACATAGCTGTATGTGACTTTTACATCTCTTGTACGCTGAATAATTCATATTTACATGTAATTGTAGTAGCTGCGGTTTTAAAAAGCCAGTCAGGATTACAAGAACAATAAGTGCTAATTTCATTTTAAATTGCATCTTGATTTTATAATCCAATTTACAAAGCACCATTACCACAGTGACCAAGCATCTTCTACTTCAGTTTTCTAATAGAAGGTCCACCCAAAAGACATCACCAGAATTAGTGTGAATGACACTGAAAACGGTGTTAGTGCAGTGTTTGCACTTTTGTTGCACAATTTAAATGATAGCCATTGCTCCCTATGAGACAGCAGGGTATAATTAGAGAATGGTGTTATAAGGGTATATTTGAATACATTCCCGTTGTTTTCAGTGTAGAATAAATGAGTTTACCATGGTCAGCTTGTCAACAAATGCTGTGACTGGAAGAAAGAACATTCAAAGTAGCATGACCACATTCGTTAGCGTAATCACAAACAAATTATCTGATGGATGAAAAACTTGTATGGCCTCATTACTCATGTTAGCATGCCCGACTTTGACACGTGTACATGCGTCAGTGCAGATGAGCCACTTGAGCCATGAATACAGCACACTGTTCAACCTGCAGTTCAGGGCCAACATGGAGGCTGAAACAGCAAACAGGCAAAGACACTTCTGGGTGTCATTAGCACACAGACCAGTGCAGAAATAACAGCCAAACCGAAGCAGAGTTAAGCTAACCTAATGAGCACAGCTTGGTGTCATGGGAACAAGTATATGAAATGAGACAAGAGGAGGAAAGTAATGAAAGGACGGACAGACAGGCATCACATCAAGCCTCAGATCTGCCCGTACCTGTGTGCAAGTTGATCCTGAATGCGGTCAGCACGGCAGGACCATCTTAAGAGAGCAGATATAAGCATTAGAAACTCGTCTTATGCTGTCAGTAAAAAGTAAAACGTTTTAACTGCTGGTGGACATCTGACCAGGTTCTCACTTGTAATAGTGCCTCAGGTATGCTTGGATAATTAAAAGAAGAAAAACAGTTGAATTGTTTTATCGCCTACAGGAATTAGATCAGGACTGTAGTAAAAAAACCTACATAATTCAACCTGAAAAGGAGACAGACCAAGACTCAATCTCCTGAGTAGAACACAATCCATTCCATGATGTTGGTCCACTTCCATCCATCCATCCATTTTCTGATCCGCTTATCCTCACAAGGGTCGCGGGGCGTGCTGGAGCCTATCCCAGCTGTCTTCGGGCAGTAGGTGGGGGACACCCGGAACTGGTTGCCAGCCCATCGCAGGGCACACATAGACTAACAACCACCTGCGCTCACACTCATACCGATAGACAAAGTATTCCAATCACGTGGCAGGCATGTTTTTAATATGTGGGAAGAAACTGCAGTACCCGGAGAAAACCCACGCAGGCACGGGGAAACATGCAAACTCCACACAGGAAGGCCGGAGCTGGAATCAAACCCTGCACCTCTGCACTGTGAGGTCGATCACCGGGCCGTCCTGCTGTTCCACTTCTAATTGCTGTAAATTCATTTAATTTACAGGCAAGTTTTGAAGTTACATTTTAATATTTGTAACTGTCATAACAACTTGCAACTCACAACATGTTACAAAATGATGGTTCTCAGTTTTTGTGTGACTTTTGTTTTTTCTATCGAGCTGAATTAAAACTTTGCTTTGTTTTTGGCAGGCTGCGTGGGAGTCTGTCATTTATACAGTGTCGGCACCAATAACAGCTCATGTGTAGCTCCTTTTCAACTGCTGCATTTCATTTTTTAAATTTAGACAGGAGTTGTTATGCCTCACACTTGAATAACCCCAGCTTGGTATTTTGTAACAGAAAAACAGGGGAAGTAATACTGATTTGGAACAGATTTAACTTCCTCTAAGTCAGAGGTAATGCCAGATTTGCAAGAAATTCACGTCTTGCGTTGTAGCACATGCGACATTAGTAAGATTTGTACGGCTGTTTAAATGAATCTGTCTTAAGTATGTGTGATTGAGCAATGAATGATCCAAACGTGAAAAATGTGAAAAGTGAAAAACAAAAGTACAAAGCTTTTTCAAAGAAAAATAGCTGTTCCACGAAAACATGAGTTTTCATGGAACCATTTCAATGAAGCCTCAATTCAGAAAGTTAACTCAAACACACCATTTTCAATGTACAGCTAAATAACAAGAGGGGAAAGCAGAAATTGCAACCAAAGTACCCACAAAACATTTTCATCAGAATCAAGTATGATCTCAGAGGCTTCATTGACAAGTGCATGAATCCCCAAGAAGTCATGTTCGACTTAAGAGAGGACGCAGTCTTATCTTTGCGAGACACAACCTACAAGTGTTGAAATAGCATGTCGATCGTGGTTGAAGACGTGATGTGTGTGAGGTCTACAGCTGTTTCCAAGGAACGCTGGCAGATGCAGATTAGGTTACATTAAAATCTGATTAGGAAGTCTTCACCCAATCATGCTGCTTTTCCACAAAGGTAACCGAGTTATCCATTTAGTATTATTTGCAGGCTTAGAGGTATACACCAGAGTTAGGGCCGATATGTACATACACAGTGTACCCCAGTGTATCACGAGTACGATAAATATTCTATCGTGTCACTTTTTTGCTACCGTTTCTTCCGTCATTTGTCATCTGCAGCAAACTGCGTGGAATAAGAACATCAAAGACCTCTATATAAGCAGCATGTCCACATATCATCAGACAGTCACGCGGAGCGCTCATCGAAGTCAGACAGCAACAAGCACAGATTTTGAAATTCGGTCCTTGTCCATTTCGGAGAAAATGTAAGAGTTTTTAAATGCACCCCATGGTCGTATTTTCCACACTAAAAGGCGCACTGGATTATGAGGTGCACCTTCAATGAATGGCCTAGTCTGTAATTTTTTTCATATATTGGACGCACCACACTGTAAGACGCAATCTCCAATGCATCCACTAGATGGAGCTACGTGCAAGGAAATACAAACAGAACTGTAGCAATGCCACTCGAGTGAGAGCGCGCCTCAGCTGTCCATAGTCCGCTGCTCTCTGCTGTGCGCGCATGAGCGCGAGCACGTACGCACGACGCAACCCACGTCACAGATCAAAGAAGCTTTGAACAAACGACAACAACTAAGATATCTTAGCTGTTGAGTGGCGTTGCTACAGAACGATCAAATGTCAGTAAAACTTATTTAATAAAGCAGCGACACAGTTCACTTAACCAACAGCAAGTTCTAACAGTGACTCGTTAACATTGAACTCTCTTACCGCTGCTCTATTTCCGTGTTCAATTGCATAACCCGATTGCCGTAAGTTTGAACTCTGCTTTGTAAGCTTGTCTCTAGCAAGGAGCCATTTTGGGGTCTGCATATTACCGTAATAACCATACACAAGACGCATCGGATTTTAAGGCACGCTGTGAGCTTTTATGAAAATGGAAGTCTTTTAGGTGCGCCTTTTAATCTGGAAAATACGGTAATGTAATCCCACTTAAAACACGAAACATAAAGTAGACATTTGCGGTGATAGTAGTTATTCATCCACGTAGACAGTTCATTTATTATCAGGGGTGTAGTGGGCGTGGTACGCGGGCGTACGCCGTCCACCCACTTCTCCCGACGCCACATTCAATTTTTATTGAAATGTTTGTTGATCATTGTTATAATGCGAGTTATGCTTAATAACGTTGGCCTGTGATTATTTTGGAGAAGTAAAACATTAAATTTTTACGTTAGTTCAACTGGTGTTGTAGCCTATGATTGATGTTCTGTATGTATATATACAACATCCCAGAATCGCGTACACCCACTTAAAAAAATCCTCACTACACCACTGTTTATTATGCATGGCAATGACGGTATGTCATCATCATTTGTAGACATCTACGTTAAATGAGATCGAGAAGCAAAGTCTTCAATATCCCAAATATTTCTATCCCCTCCGGCATTGCCACTTTGCCGATATGAGATGGTAAAATGAGCCGTACATGCAGCACCTAATTCACTTCCCTAAACATTGTGCAACGTAACATCATTTTTTTTGGTGCGCATCACTCGACATCATGCTTTGTACGCATGCGTGTCAATTCACAGACACGTTGGGTTCACACTCAAAGTCGCATTTGTTTTTGCAATGAACGAGTATATAAAAAGATTGGATTCAACAAAAAAATCTGAATAGGGCATCACGACCTGCAATTTGAACAAAGCAATAGTGTGTATTTGAAAATATAATGTGGTATATCATTACTGTAATATAAAATGGCCTTCAGTCTGATGGAAGAGTTTTCCCATATCGCCCAGCACTAGTTACGAGCGGGTTATTTCTAAAATGAAATATTTTGATCGAAACACAAAACAATACTCTGCAGAATGCGGGACTGAGAATAAAGAGATGGCTTTTTATGTATGATTTAGTATCATGCCTCCATCACGGGGGTAATACAATTACAGGGTCAGTTGCCATGGCAACTCTTTGGCTCTGTTTCTACTCCAACTGGGCGATGACTTCATCTGGATACAGATAGGGGAGTGAGATCAGCTTTGAAGCAAGCACACATGCTAAAAAAAATCAATAATAGCTATGAAGCATTGAAAAATGAAGCTAAGACGAGTTCACGTATCATGATTAAAGGACAGCAATTCCAAAGAGAGGCTGGGTTTTCATTGAGGAGGCTGTTTAGGCCGACAGACAGTGTCGGCTCGCCCAGAAAGTAATACAAGCAAATGCTACGGGTGCCACCGCCGCCTTCAGGGGGCACCGTGCAATCCGGAAAAAAAAAACAAAACTATTCACCTTCACTGTAATTACATTAAAAGGAGGGCCACCGCCGCCTTCAGGGGGCACCGTGCAATCCGGGAAAAAAAAAAAAAAACTATTTACCTTCACTGTAATTACATTAAAAGGAGTTCACTCTTAAAATGAACACAGTGACATATTCACATGTAACCCACTGAACCATATATCAACATTTTTGTGTCATGACAGGGTGTATGTTCTCAACTAATATGTACAAAATCAGATTTTTTTTTCTTTCACGTTTTAAATTGTGAGGATAAATGCTTCAAATAATGGATGGCTGTATGTTATCTTCTGAATTCAACACACTGGTTAAAAACAATGCTATTCGATTTATTTTGCAATCGTATGTAAATTTGCTGATGATCAGACTCCATGGTCGGCACTGCTTGTAGAGTGCAAATTGTCGAACATCCATTCAGGAAAACAATTCACATTTCGACTAAATTGGCCTCACACAAAAACCCAGAGATCACAAACCACACAGAATGGTACCAGTGTGGGGGAAAAAAGAACACATGACAACATGACCAAAAACAATAAAACATTGTGTAAGTAGCAAATAGAGGTTTTATCGTAGAGATGAAGTAAATCTGCATTATTTCCTCAGCAACAAGTTGGTTCCAGTCAGGATCTCTTTTAGCAGATTCCAAGTTAGCATCACCAGATGGATTGTGTTCAACATTTAAGGTATTACTGTACGACATTAGTCTGTCAGTCAAGTCTATAAATCCATGTTTGGGCAGCTGTGAACAAGGTACAATTGTCAAAACAGAGCCAGAGGAAAGCGAAGACAGACGTCTTCCTCCCTTTTCACATGCGGCTGAAGGCCCGCTCTGATAAGCGCCTCAACAAAGCCACTGCGCAACAAATGCAGTCTATCAACCCACAACAGACCCAAAGTAAACTGACAACTCTTTATTCGGCACTCATCGATAAATGCAATTTAGTGTTGGGAACAAGTTCAGGTCTCTTTTATTGCAGTTCAAGCAGCAAATTTAGCATGTGCCAGACTGTTATTTGTTCCCAGTGCTAGTAATGATACAGTAGTTAACAATATGAAACAAATCCAATTATGAAGTCAAAACATAAGGACTAAAAATAACACTTCAGTATTGAACAAGATCACGAGATTATAATGGGCTTGGTTTGGAAGACCAAAAAAAAAAAAGCACTCAAATTCCTTCAAGTGTTCCACTCTCTCTGCTTTGAGACAAACGAAATGCTGAACTTAATATAACATATTTTATTTAACATAACATATATAATTCATTTGACAGTACAGTATTGTGGATGGTATTCATTTTCTTTGGTATGTTTAAACAATCTACAATGCATCGGTCTATTTGTAGTGACGATGAGACCAATATTTCCAACAAGATGAAGTAGCACTAATGGGGATTTGATTTTGATTTTGGTTGATATAATTAAGACATGGATCATTTTAAAAGAGGAGCTACCGTAATTTCTCGACAATAACACACATTTTTTTGTTGCAAAAAAAGAAAACTCAAAAATTTGAAGGGGAGTTTTATACATGGGCTGAGAGGAATGAAATGAAAATTTGTCACATAGCATGTAATATAGATCATGGGTGCCCAATACGTCGATCGCGATCAACCGGGATATTACGGACTGGTCACAAGTCGACCGCGAGGGGTGGGAGGAGGAAATGTGGGTGGGGGGGATTGGTTGCTTCAAAAGTCAATCTTCGGTCAAAAACGTTTGGCCACCCCTGCTATACTTAAAGCTGTTTTGCGATCGCTTGGGGTTGTAAAAGAGTTGTGCTTTCATTCCATATGATACTTAATGTCAACCAACACTACTCAGAGGGGATAGGGACCGGGCCAGCTCATGAATAGTGAAAAGCTGCATATAATTGACATTGATTGAAAGGGATTGGGATTGTTGTTGTTGTTTTTTTAAATAAAAACATATAATTATTAAAACCAAAAAAATAAAAATAAATTAAAAAAAATGTAAAAGCCAATAAACTTTCAATATGATTTCCACAAAAAATATGGAAAGAAGGAAAATGGAGGGGAGGATTATGTTTTTTTTAAATAAATAAAATATAAAATATTGAAAGAAAAAAATCTCCAAATATATTCTGTGAATCCACTTGTGTCAAACGAGTATGTGGGGGTCGACTGTACGATGTTATTTGTGGTGGTTTTGGCATAATTCTCCCATGAAACTTAGGACCAATTATGATGTTCCAAACAGGTTTTTGCCCAACTTCATGATTTAGTTCATTGTTTATCCACCAAGCCTCGCATCATCTCGAGAAGCATGCTCAGTACATGATAATCACAAAAGATAATAACATACACAACAAAATAAGACTCAAAACATGAGAGCATGAAACTAGAGGTGTGGGTGCTTCGAGTGGAGAAGATGAGTGGCTCCACCATCTACTCTGACAGTAAAAAAAAAAAAAAAAAAAATTTAAATCAATTGAACATGTCTAGTCAATCTGGTGACTGGTTATTGTGCTCCTTTGGCTGCTAAATACTATCTTGGTTCACAGTTCAACAGCTGTAAACAAGTCAATACACTCACCAGATAGGCCAAACTCCTCGCTCCCAATTCTCCAAGCCTGCACCTTTGTGGCTCGGTCCCGGCCAGTATTAGAAGCAGGTTATGTTACATAACTCTTGGTGCTCACAGACCGCAATGATATTGTCCGCGATTGTTTATTTCACTGCGTTGCATGTGTGTGTGTGTGTGTGTGCGTGCGTGCGTGCGTGCGTGTATGCGTGCATTTGTTCATGTGAGTGTATGTGTAAGACGGTAAGTATATTCTCAACGCCGATTGACTTTCGGCAACGCAACACAGTGAAAAGTTCACATTTTCATCCCCCCCCCCCCCCCACCCCGAACCCCTCATGGAAAACGCATCCACCTATTCCCAGCTATCTGCACAAACTGCATTGGACTTTATATGCAACACGAACGTTCAACTCGCGTTTGGTTTGACTGCAGTATCAGACTCCCTGACTTCTGCATCACACAAACATAATTTTTGCTGCTCACCAAACGTCAGGTCGAGCAAGTCAACTGCCGTAAATAGAAACAAAATTGTATTTAGCCGATGTCATGTTCTATACAGAAGTTGGTTCCCTAGAGGACGTAACGTACTTTCCAAAGCAAGCCTTTGTTGCCCTTTGCAATGCCGGGTCGTCTTTGTGACATCCCGGCACATATCTTGTCTGGAAATGAGAAATCCCAACGAGCAAATTATTTATGTAGATAATACTTCACTTTTTGAGCATGTATACCAGCAAATTGGAGGAAACATAATAAATGGGTACATCTGAAAATCAGATTTTAAAGGGAGCTCTAATATTGACGTGTGTGTTATCTTCAAGAAATTATGATGAAACCTTGGGTTTATTTAAAAAAAAACTTTTTAAAAGTTGTGAACAATTATTCTCTAATACACAATACTGCTCTTCTGTGGTCATATCAGCTCATTGGGAACTCTCGGGTAAATATGTGTTATTATTTGTGAATGCTTAGAAGGGAATCCTAATTTAGCAGAGACATAATGATGACTCTGAAACAGCACAATCCTCTGTTAATGCCTAGAACTTTGCGAAGTGCAAGCTCGTCATTCTCCACGGACCATCAGGGAGAAATAATGGTAAAACAATTCATTTTCGTCAAGCCAACATCTGAAAGCATATCATTGGGTAAAGTAAATGTCCCTAATGGACTCTGGTGGAGATTGTTTAAAACCACACTCAAAGTGGTTTGGAGTTTGGTAAAAACACACTGACTGACCGTCACTGAAGAAGAAATCCCGTGAAATATGGAGAGAAAATATAACCATTTTCTTAAATTTGAAGTACTTTAGATTATCTAACGGCCAACCTAAATCTGTGTTTTAGTTATGGAAACACCTTCCGGGGTGAGTTTGTTTTGAAATGACACACACTGAACCAACAATAAAAATAGTAACAGAGAACCAGTGTAAATTCTACTCCAGTTTATTTTCCGAGTATTTGCATATCATCAATAATAGCCTCAGCTCAGAGAAAGCACAAAGTACACGAGGACGACTCTGTTAACACGTTTGCATAGAAATGAATATTTGGAAGTTTAAAACAACATGAGTGGTTGTTCATTAAGCTACCGTTTTCTTAAAACGATCACGTTATAAAGTCGGCTCATTTATATTTATCGACGGTTGACTTATTTAGTGAGTGATTGCTTTCATACGGGGTGGGCATACTGTCTGGACAAAAAAAAAAAAAAAAATCAATGAAGTCCAAAGAGAAAAGAAGAAACGACGTGGATGCACAAACAAATGGGCCTACCTCCAGTGTGAACGTCTCCGGCGCTTTGCAGCTCGATCAAAGTTTCATCCTTTGCCTTGCCCGTTATTTTCCTCATTGCGACCAAACGTGTGTTCAGTCAGAGCGGCTGTGACGGGGAGGCACGGACCGGTGATGCCGCTGTGGCACTCACTGTCGGATCAACCAAATCACCACCGTGTACACACACCGTCAGCAAAAGAACGGCGGTAGCATCTTTTACACGTTTTCAAAGAATGGAAGTGATCCCCTGCTTGCTACCAGACGCTTGCCTGAGTAATGAAGGTACTCATAAAAGGGGAGTGGCAAAGAGGCTTTTCATCGGCTCAATGGACCTCTGCGTGAACGTGCGCAAGAACAGAGAGTGAACGTGAGCGTGAAACAGCCTACATTCAAGAGGGGGTTGGAATTCTAAAGTGGTTGTGGCACAGGTTAAATACGACAAAAAAAGTCAAAAAACGATAACGGAATACTTGTGGTACCACGTGGTGCTGACCGCAGGATGGTAATTTGTGTACAATAACGATACCTTGTGGCTTAGAAAGGTAGTGCATCATATTTTCTGTTTTCAGCGACACCCAATCCACACTTTTACTGGCTGAATATGTTCTTGCAAAGTGTCATATTTTTTAAGAGTCGACTTCTCAAAATCGTAATCATAAAATATTAGCACTGTGCAATTCTGGTCGCACATTTTTTGTTTGAAGACAGTTGACCTTTAATCTATTATGTGTCTTCAATTCTAAATATCATGTGCGCTCGTCTCCCTTTTGAAGCCTCAGTGGGTGTCTGAGGTATAAATATGGGGCCATTCCATCAATCCATTTTCACAAGGAAGCTCGAGACTAATCCAAGTCTTTTGACTCTGGAATTTTACATTTTATTTAGATGCATACATGTTTTTGCAATGTGGGAGAACCCCATATGCTCAGTGAGAAAACTTGCAAACGTCTCATGTCCAGGTCGGAGGCTGGAACACAAAACCTTGAATGTGTGTCTGTATTTCTCACGCACATCATGGAGAGATAAACTGCTCATGGAGAAGAGTTTGTCCACCATTAGTTCCCTCCTAAAAGCTGAAGGAAACTCTGTCAGGAAGTGGTGGAAAAGATAAAAACGTCACAATGCAGTCAAGTGAGGATGCACGAAAATAGTACAGCCATACAAATCCATTATGAATGGGTAAATTCGTTCAGGATCCGTTATTGCAGTTAGTTAACATGCACATATATTTTAAATGGCATAGAATTTTCAAATACAGTATTCATTCATTTATTCAGTCACTTTCCGAACCGCTTTATCCTCACACGGGGGGTGCTGGAGCCTATCCCAGCTGTCTTTGGGCAGTAGGCGAGGGACACCCTGAACCGGTTGCCAGCCAATTGCAGGGCACACAGAGACGAACAACCATCCACGCCCACGCTCACACCCAGGGACAATTTAGAGTGTTCAATCAGCCTGCCATGCAATTTTTTAGAATGTGGGAGGAAACCGGAGCACCCGGAGAAAACCCACGCAGGCCCGGGGAGAACATGCAAACTCCACACAGGGAGGCCGGAGCTGGAAATGAACCCATTACCTCTGCACTGTGAAGTCGACGTGCTAATCACTGGACCACCGGGCCGCCCAAATACAGTATTTTCACTCTAAATTCCTCAGATCCAAAAATGTCAAACCAGTCAGTTTAGAGACGTTTCAAATAGAGTTTTAAGAATTTCCAAAGATGAAGAAAAATGTCATTGTATTCTTTCAATGAAGTAGTGAAACGTGAAGCAAGGGAAGTAAATGATTACAAGAATTTACAAGTATCTAAAATTACATTGCAAAATGGCAAAATTGGGGCAAACATTCTTTTTATTCAATATTTAATATCAACCTCAAAAAATGTATATCACTCAAGAAAGGTTAGTGATATTTGACTTTCAGGTAAAATTTTCAGATGAAACCAAAATGCACTGTAATTTCCACAGTTACCGGGTGTTTACAAAATCTCATCGTTCAAAAGAAGAATTTCTGAGTTACGACATGCCCAAGACAATTGGTAAAAAAAAAAAATCCAAATTTCAGCAATATATTCAGTCTGATATTGATTTTATACCTAACTGATTTCACAAAGTTTCACTTTTTTGTCGTTGTTGTTCTGAAAATCTTGATATATTTTAAAGATGTGAACAGCAGTAGGTGGGGTACACCTTGAACTGCTAGCCAGCCAATCACAAGGCACACATAGACAAACACCCATTTGCTCTCACAATCGCACCTTGGGGCAATGTAGTAGTGTTCCTATTCACCAAAGTATCAGGAAGAACCCCACCAAGCACGAGGAGTACATGCAAACTCCACATGTACGGCGCCTAGAATCGAACCCCGCACCTCTGCACTGTGAGGTGAACGTGCTAACCAGTAGATCACCGTGCTGCCTATTTTCGGGAGCCGCCCGTATAGGTGACGTAACAGAAATATGAGAAACACCTCTTACTGGGAAGCACTGTAATTCAAGAATACTGCAAAGTACAACAAAAAATAATTAAGATTGTTTAATTTATATATCTCTGAAAATGCCAATCAAAACTCAATACAGTAGTGTATTCCAGTAGACCGACTGAACTATCTTTTTTAAAAAACAGTACAGTACCTGTATTTGCATAGCTTTCTAGGCCGCTAGAGGGCAGTACAGTATTGTTTAACGGGCGCTGCTTTGTTCCCAATGACTGGGAGAGTTCCTTGTTTATTTGAGGTTCACTCACGCTGAACCATTTAGCTTTAAGCAAAACTCACCCACATCTACAGTTAATATTTTGCCTTTTATTACCTTTTAAAATCCTTCAAGCTCCCACTCGGTTTCTTTTGTTAAGCTAAATTGCGTGTATGTTCTTGGTTTCCAAAGGGAAACAATGGAATATATTTTGTTCTTCATAAAATAATAATGATGTGGTCTATCAATGTCAGCTGAATAGCCAAATTATCGTGACGATTTTATTCGAAAATAAGAGTCTGATGTGATAGTATTTATAATTACCGTTGCTATGTGTGAATTTTTACCAAATCATTGTATTTTCTTCGCATTGTATCTAAAAAATAATTATTTGTTGGCATTTACAAACCGTTTCTCAGTGTACTCGACTCTTTTGTTCCATGAGTACACATGCATTGACTGTGTGTTGTTGCGTGTGTGTGTTTTGGGGGAGACAAGGAGAGAGAGAGAGAGAGAGAGAGAGAGAGAGAGAGAGAGAGAGAGAGAAAGAGAGAGAGAGCATGCAGGATCGGTTCCAGTAGAGTGAATGAAGAAGAGAGGAGGCGAGGGATGCTGACAGATTACTGATAGATGGTTGGAATGACGAAAGCTTATTCGACCCCAGTGTGCCACCGAACAGTAGCTCCGTAGGTCGGACCATGTAGCCGAAGATTTCTTCACCTCATCGATTAACTTCGCGTTGTGCAAGTGCCGGATTAACTGAGCGTTTTAAATGGCATCATCCAAGAGGCGCTGCCGCCTTGTTCAATGTTTTTTGGGTATCCTGCTAAGTGCTTGCATGGGTAAGTGGCATCAATCTCTTCATCATTGCGGTGTGTGGTTGCTTGAATAACGTCTAATCAGCTCCTCTGCGGCTTAATTGACGCATGTTTGGATGAGTGCGATGGTGAACTTGGACTCTGGCCGCAGTCTGTGCTTTGGCCGTGGATGGCACTTTGCAGACAAAGTGGAGCAGCAATGTGGACTGTGTGTGGGAAGGCTGGATCAGAGCGGCATCTGGTGTAGAATATGGAACCAGTGCCTCGCAATGTAGCATAAATTCAACTTTTGTCATTTGTGCAGAGACCTTTCCGCTGGTTGCTGGTGCGTGTAGTTGCACTTCAACCACGTGCAGCGTTGTGAGGCAAAGTTTTTCGGTTGTTTTGACGTGAGAAAGTTCCACAAAGCACAGTGTTAGTTTGTATAAGTGGAACGTATTTCCCCACATTACAATATCCGTGGCTGTATCAAATGTTTCCAAGTAATTATTCGCCACTCACTGGCAGTATTACAAATTGAGCTCTCAAAGGAAAAGCGGCAGCAAACTCATTACATTGTGTAATGATAATGATAAGAAAGTTAATGAGTCATTATTGGTCTGGTCCAAATGGCAATGATCCTGCTGGGGAAATTATTTGTACATATTAAATGTCAAGACTGTCTCGCTCCTCCTGATCGAATTGTCTTTTTGTGTGGCTTTTGTTCACTGTGACAGACAGTTTCTGCCTAATGTGAGGGCCCCCAAACTCACAGGGGGATAGTGAAGATTTGTCACACAGGGAGCCACAACAGCCTGGCTGGAATCATAAATTCATAACCTGCTTTGTCAGGGAATTGGGAAACATCAGAGTCACAGTTCAGTTTTTGTTTCATTCAAATGTAGGCAATACGTTAAATAACTAAAGCCATGTTTCTCTGTCTTTGAAAATAGATTTCGTTTTGATGACGGAACTTGTGAGGATATTTCAATAGAGTTGAGAAGAAGCAATAAAATGATATTATATCTGTGGTTGCCACTGCTAGAGCTCATTGAGAAAATATCATGACAAGACCACCATAACCTTACGACTGTACTGTGGGAAAAAAAAGACTGTTGGATTCACGTAAAAATTGTCTGGATATTAGTTGCAGACTTTAACATCATGTTTCCCCAACATGGCTATGGTTTCATTTTGCACAATAGTCATGTTGTTGAAACATGATTTAAATGCAAACTACCAGTATCCATACTTTTTTGTGTAAATCCAACAGAGACAATTTTCAGTGTATGAACACTTTAAATATGTCGGTGTCGCAGTTTAAGTTTTAGCAACACTTACACGTTTTTCAACAGATGATCTGGGGTGGGGGAGTGGGGGGGCTTAGGATCAAAGTGTATAAGATTAAGCAGGCTAATTTTACAAGACAACACATGGAGTCTTTCTCAGCAATTTCAAGTCAACTTTACTCTCCAATTACACATCACCGCATGTCAGAGTACTTCAAACTGTACAGTTGGAAGTATATACGATAGGTAGCTAGAATGGAATGGTATTGATTTCAAAATCACAAAACATAATCTTGGGAGCTATCTGCACTATTTGCACTTTGTTTTTGTTGACCGGATGTAAAAGAAATTGTTCTGTGGGGGCTCAGTTCGCAGTAGCTGTTTATGTCATTTAGTAGCACAGAGTAGCTTCTGTCAAGTCTTAAAGTAGACGTTGTTTATCCATTTACGTACTGTACATTATATTGACAAAAGAATTAGAACATCTTCCTTCTACGCCAGCAAATCATGAAAATGTGGGAAACAACCATAAGGAGTTTGTTTCCTGTGTGCAATTACAACAGATTCTCCTCTTCTGGGAAGACTTACACAAAGCTTTTTCAGTGTGTCTACAGACATTGTGGTACATTCACCCAAACGGACATTGTGATGTCACTCATGGACAAGAGCTTTTGGCTCGTGGTCTGTTAGTTCATTCCAAATGTGTTTGATGCAGCTGAGGTTCTTCGCTCCAAACACTGTCCACTGATACGTACAGTGTAACACAGCGCCAATACTCATCTTATACCGAAACTTTTGTGACAAATTTTGGAAGATTGTACATTGTAATTGTACGATAAAGAACTATTTGATTGTGTCCTTTAGATACAAAACATTGTACTTCACTCAAAATTCTTTCCTTGAAACTTATTTTCTGTTTCTTGTCAACAGCATACCAGAGTGTACTGAATGAGGAGCAGCATGAGTGCTGAAAATGAACCAAAGAAACATAAGAAAAACAATAAATCATCTTAACTTCGGTTATCATATGATTCGACCCATGATGGCATTTTGAGAAAAAAATTATCCTGTTTTGTGTCCTGACATGACTTGTTGCTGTCAGTGGTGCTCGGGTCTGCTACTGTCTTGTTCTGTGAGGTTGCGTGCCTGTAGTTGCGTAAATGGTTGCAGAAAATGATTTTGCCAGCCAGTCTCATGACTCTGCCAATAAGAAGGCACCAGGAGAGGCACGTTTAGCCACCACCTGCCTTGGGTCTTACTCTGTAATCCCAAAATACAAGTGCCTCACCTATTTTCATGGAAAATGCAGTACAATGCTTCTCCTAAGATGCAAATACAGTTAGGTCTGTCAACTTTCAGCTCTGCAGGCATGTGCTTCTCTCCTTTTTACGTAGCTCGATGTTCTGCCTTCACCAATCACCTGGACTTATTGATGACAACTTCATTACATCCTGTGTCTGTTGATGACTCACGGTTGTGTTCAAAATCATTTCCTCTGACCTTTTTACACTGCCTGTTGCCTTGCTCTCTGTCAGTGCTCCGGGTTGCATTAGCAACCTGCTAGCACGCTGCTGGCAACATGCCACAGTCATTAACAAGTCAATATTGTATAATGATGCCATCAAACGAAACTGTCATCTTATTATTTGTTTTATTTATTTTTAGTGAACTGCCAACTTCGGCACCCATGTTTTTTAATGCATGTTCAGATGACATTTTTTTTAAAGCAAATAAACAAATTCAATTTTAGTGTCGTCAGTTTGTCCATCAACATTTATGTACATTGTTATTCGGGGGGCCCAAACGTTTTTGAAACTGATAGCTATCTGTTGAGTGCTAATCAATGTGAATGGTGATCATTTTTATGCACAGTTCTTACATTACATTTTGTTATCTGTTGTTATTAAAAGGTAGAAATATTCATTCATGGGAAATAACTGTCCATTTATTAAAGTGAATGATTTTGGCTGCCAACCGATTCAGGGTGTACCCCTCTGGTAAGCCTGTGGCCCTCGTGAGGATAAGCGATTTGGATCATGGATGGATTTCTCACAGTAATTATATGCAATGATTTAGCATTGGAGGAAAAACTGATATGGGTGGTTCTCAGAAAGTATGGTCCAGCGGAATGTTCAAACGCTGACCCACTTCGAGAGTCAATATTTTCATCCATTTGCAATCAATCACCAGATTTCACTGCTTACCATCCTGCAAACATACAGCAGAGATCAAATGAAACAACTCGCCTGAGATTTGTGCTGTCGTTTGCACACGAATGTAATTTGAGTGGTGAAAAATAGCCACCGTGACCACTTCGTCTTTGTGACATGCCAACACACCCATGCAATTTACAGCCCTTTATCCCCTTAAAATACATCCGTTACAAAAACATTTCTTACCATTAAACTGGCAGAATGTCAATGCAACACAACACCAATAAATGGAGTCCCACGCTGCCCATAATGTGATAAGATCCCCCAAAAATTACGTTAGTTTTGTTTCCTTCTGTGTACATGAGCTACCCCTGATGATTTATTAATGTACTTACACCAGGGATGCCCAACCAGTCGATCGCGATCGACCGGTAGCTCGTGGACCGGTCCCAAGCCGATCGCGAGGAGTGTAGAGAGAAATGGAAAAAAAAAACAAGGATTTATGTGTCTTCGTGCATGTTATTAACCCTTTCAGTGACAGCAGTTACTACAGTGGACAGCTTATCATGTGATCAAGTTACAGTATGCATGAAAGGGTTAATATTAGATATTTTTTGTGTTAGTGCGCACTCCACCTGATACAACCTATCAGTCTCACTTTCACAAAAAAAGCATTATAAAAATAAAATAACATTTAAAAAAACAGGTCACCTTTAACCTACGGTGGCAGGCGATCTGCATCACCGGAATTTGTCAGCGGTCAGCAGTCTGCAATTGCAGCTTGAAATAAGTGCTCTTGCGATATGACTTTTTCAAAATTATTATTCTCATTCCAAGTTTGTTTTTGTAATTCACCGATGGCACTGGCAAAGAATGAGAATCGGGAGCACCAGGAGAAGCATTTTAAAACAGTACACGTGAGCTACAATAGTGATGTTCTTGCATTTAACACACTGCAAAAGTGTGTCCCATGCCTCCGCGTCAAGTCTCCCACTAAGAAAGGCAGTGATTTCCTTTTTGCAAATTCACAAACTGTTGTATCTACTTTATTTTACTGTTTTGTTCATCTTAGGAGCCGTTATGGCTGTTGCTCATCATGGCATGTCTGCGTGTGTGTGTGTGTGTGTGTGTGTGTGTGCGTGTGTGTGTGTGTGCGTGTGTGTGTGTGTGCGTGTGTGTGTGTGTGCGTGTGTGTGTGTGTGCGTGTGTGTGTGTGTGCGTGTGTGTGTGTGTGCGTGTGTGTGCGTGTGTGTGTGTGTGTGTGTGTATATGTGTGTGTGTGTGTGTGTGTGTGTGTGTGTGTGCGCGCGTGCGTGCGTGCGTGTGTTTGTGTGCGTGCGTGCGGTAACGGATGAGATCTTCATAGAAGTGGTATGTCATCCTTGGGGGCAACCTGTGCCCATGGGAACCATTTTGGTGACCCTTGCTTTACATGACGTGTCACTACTTGCTGGTTGGGCTCCAGGATGTTAACATGAGGTTGGTACCGTTGGCTGCTTCCTCTCTGAAAAACATTTAAGGGGGGGCGGGGGGGGGAGAGAGAGAGAGAGAGAGAGAGAGAGAGAGAGAGAGAGAGAGAGAGAGAGAGAGAGAGAGAGAGAGAGATGCACTTCTCTGTCTGTTGCATCATTTGGAAGCAAGAATCAGCATTTGCCAGCTAAGGGTTAAATATTACTACTAGCGCTTCCTTGCTTTTCACAAATGGCAGCACCAATGTCCCTCAGGTCCCATTGCCCTTTTACTTAAAGTGTTAATAGAGAGAGAAAAAAAGAATGGCGAAAGAGAAGGAAGAAATTATTCTTTGCATTTTTAAGTCTTGATGTGATCGCCGCGCTCAGTAAATTCCTTCTCCAGACCAAAATCTGAAGCATTTCTCATCTGAAATTTCATGGATGAAGGTACTCTGTTTTGACCCCTGTGCCCTCAACCCCACCCCCTCTGTGGCCCTTTACTCTTCCCCACCCCTGCCACCAGATTCCTGGGCCTTGGGGCAGAGACTGGTAATGCTTAGTCCATCAGCAATTGGAACTTGAGAGCAAAGGAGCCTCCTAAGCTCTTCTTTTACAGGACCGAGTCAGGTTAGGCTGTTTACATCCTCTATTTCTGCATCCCACAGATTCCACAATTCTGGAACATTGGAGCACCTCATATTATTATGAAGGAAATCCCAAAGTGCAAACACATTTCACGGATGTGGTTTGTTTTTATGGACAAGAAAATGCAAGATCCCCGAATGAATAGGTGGTCACCATCAGTCATCTCTTTTAGTACACAGTGAAGGCAGACAATCGCTTTGAGAATGTGTGTATATGACTACACATGCGGTCTGTATTCATTCTCGATAATGTGCATTCCCTTCTGCCTGGAGGTAATGTAGCACACTTAACGCGTTTCATTCATGAGGTGCATGGCGAGCCATCATAACGGATATGCCACATGGGGCATACTTTGTTTGTTTGCATGCAAAGGTTGATATGGAAATGATTACTTGGGGCCACAACTGTTGCAGTAATTGTGTTGTAAGCCAGGGTGGTTCTCAGTATGGATGATCAAAGCATATGAGAATGCAGATATCATCATCGGACACAATCTGATGAGATCTGAGTCACACATCCAAGGCAGAGTCCTTAGTTTGTTTGTAGTGGGTCGTAAAGGAAGTCAGGAATTCCTAAAATGAACTATCATTCAAAAAGTATCCATGGGATCTATCCACTTACCATGTGCTATACTATCCTGTGGTTCCTGCCTCTTTTTTTTCAGGAAATTGAACAGGGTGCATTGTGATCTTTGCTTGTGTTCGTCCAGGTGTGTCGTGCGATGCGGAGCTCTCCTTCACCCTGGAGCCGAGTGACATCATCGCAGTGCAAGAGCAGCCCCTCATGCTCCATTGCCAGGTGGATGGTATCCCCCCTATCACAACACAATGGAGGCACAACAGCCTGCTTTTAACTCAAGACCAGTTTCACACCATCTTCATCAATGGCTCTCTCCTCATTGGCCACTTCCTCAAGACCAAATCGGACAACACGTCGGATGAAGGGGACTATGAGTGCATGGCCCAGAATTCTTTTGGGCTGGTGGTGAGCCGTAAGGCGCGCGTCCAAGCAGCCAGTAAGTCTCATGTTTTGTTGTCTTGCACTGCATGGAATTGCAAACGGAGGGGCATTCCTCTCAGCCCTTCAGCATTTACACAAATCAAAACAACAAAACAAAACATGGAAATAGAATGAAGACTGAGAGATGGAACTTTCACCAGCATAACACTTTCAAGATTTTAGTTTAGTGTGTTGTCATGTAAGCACAAAATAAGTTAAATTATGTATCTGATGCCAGCGATGTCTACTTTCAACTGAATGGAAACTTGTACTGAACAGAGACAGTTAAATCCATAACTAATTTTGTTTCATTGACACAAACTTTTACATTTGAACAGTATGTCCCACCACTGCAGCATCATATGTCACAAATTTCATTAGATGATTGTTGATACTACTACTACTATTACTAATAATAATAATAATAACAAAAAAATTAATAATAACATTAGTAAAACACAAAAAATGCACTGTTTGCTTGTTGTCATGTTACTGTGTCAAGGGGTGGTATGGATTAGGACCCAAAGGAGGCAGGGAGGCGAGTGTGCTTTCAAATAAAATAATAAGAGAATGAAAAGCAAATAAGATACTTTGGAATAATCAAAACGAAAATTAATTTACATTTTCAAAAAAGAAGTTACAAAATAACAAACCAAGACCAGGAATAAACTGAGGAGACTTGGGGTAAATAGGAGTCACAGCAAACAGGAACCTCAACTAGGACAAGGACAATGAACCGACAGGGACGTGGCCAATGTTTTTTTGTTTTTTTTTTGTCAGGGTTTGTTGAATGTAGCAAATAGTTGCAAACAGTTGAAAAGACGTTCGCCAGACATTCCCAAATCAGTGACGTGTGAGGACCGTCGTAGATGGTGAGGTGCTACTTCCATGGAGCCAGAAATAAAAATAAGAAGCCAAAAGTAGAAGATCAGCCTCTACTGCAATTTTGAGCTTCATTAAAACAAAATTAAATGTTTGAGTATTTGTTTTCAGAACTCGTAATTCAATTTCAATTGATAAATGTTTGAGTATTTGTTTTCAGAACTCGTAATTATCTTTCAATTGATTCCACACTATTCAACAATGTGATAGCAAGAAAAACAAAACAAACACTGTTCAACAATGTGATAGCAAGAAAAACAAAAAATATATATTTAATATAAGATCAAGTTCATTGTTGTTGGGTTGCTGTTGTGTTTTTGGAGATCTTTTTCAGCAACAATAGCATTTGTTCTTCCCTTAATATTAAATGTTATGAAAGCCCCGATGATCAAGTTTTCTAGTTGTCTGGAATCATAAGTGCATGTCTGATATTTCGAACAACCCAGCCCGTGTCAAAATTGGTAAAGAATTCGACGACTTGTGAATTTAACGGAGCCAAACACTTACCTCAGCACACGTGAATTGAAGAGATTGCCTGGGGCTTTAAGAGGGTGAATCAGTCACCACATCTCCAACCAGCCAAGGATTGCGCTCGTGTCGTGGTAGGCCACTCCGGTCCTAGAGAGCCGCAACCCCGCTTGTTTGAGAAGTTTCCCTCTTCCAGCACACCTGATTCAAATACTTGAATATGGGCATAATGAGTTATCTGATGCTGATCCTTTTTGCCTGAGAATTCAGTAGTGACAAGCTCTCTTGAAGCAGCCCTGTAGCACACTCACTGGCAGTTAGGACCCGAAAAATCTTGACATCTCTTTATTTAAAATGCTCATACAACATGCTTTGTGACTTTGACAACTATGAGGTCCAGGTTTCGATTTAAGACCCCTTCCGGTGCATTCATGCTGAGAACTTACAGCAGATTTAGGGGCACTGCATTCTTCCATGTGTTGCTGAGCTGAGAGACTCTGAACACACTTGTTTTATATGTCCTAGACGAAAGAGATGGACAAAGCCTCAGAGAATCCGACTGGTTCGCAAGCTCTGTGTAAGCAGCACACTGCTGTGCTGTTGTAACCAAACAGGCTTTTATATTCGGTGAGATGGGGATCTTAGGGTGGACATCACCTTGGTCAAGGTCCTCCCGAACATCGGAAAACACGTCCAATCTTTGAAGGCCTCTAAGACTTGTTTGTTGCAAATTTCATCTTGTCTCATCATGGCTCGCCACAACGAGTCACTCGCATGATTTGTTTGGCAACGGTATTGCGCCAGATGTCCTTCCAAATGTAACCCATTCATTTTTTTTTTTTAATCCAGGCTTACGACTGGCCTTGGTTATCAGGCTTCTCAGAGCTTGCTGAGGAGCTGATCATTTGAGTCGGGTGTGCTGGAAGAGGGAGACATCTAAAACAGGCTGGATAGGGGCTCTTGAGGACTAGACCTGAGCACCCCTGCTTTAGACATTTTCCTGGTTTCCCTCTTCCACCAACAGCCTACAAAATACCAAGGAACTATACAATGACTAGAAGTCTCAGAAGTCTGAAAATGACGAATGCTATGTTTGCGTTGCACATTTGGTCGTCCATTTCATGTTCTTCAACACCGGGCCAAACGTGCCCACTATAAAGCAAAACAAAAATGATTGTGACAGTTTGCGTGGCACAAGTCATATCTCCAAAACAATAATGACCATCTATTTGCTGCGTTACATGCATTTTGCTTTATTTGAGGACAATAACAGTTACCGTCTTTGAATTGTTTTCATAATGTCCTTAAATTGTAGATGGTGGTGTGTTCATTTCATTCTCTCAGTCCTTTGCTTTGAGGCTTTCTAATGACTTTTTTCGTGTTGCATTACTCCATTGTAGATGGTGGTGTGTTCATTTCATTCTCTCAGTGCTTTGCTTTGAGGCTTTCTACTGACTTTTTTCGTGTTGCATTACTCCAGTTATCCATCCATCCATCCATCCATCCATCCATCCATCCATCCATCCATCCATCCATCCCCACCCATCCATCCAGTCACAGGAAGTACATTCGTGATACAATGGAGAATTGCACCCCCTTCCATCACCAAATGATATTTAACCCTTTCATGCATCCTGGAACCTGATAACATGATAAGCTGTCCACTATAGTAACCGCTGTCCCTGAAAGGGTTAAACTCTTAACATTTTTCAAATTTGAGACACCCCTCTAGAGGTGAAACTGTAGGAAGATTTCATACCTTGATTACGGCAAGAAAAGGTATGCGTTCCAATCAGGCTGTGTCTCCCATTGGCAAGTAGGTTCTTATTATAGGCGCCAAGACTTGAGCACTTCATTTAGGCATGTTCTCCCATCCAGACCTCTGACACACCCACCACTCCTAAGTTGGGAAGGGCGCAGCCATACCAGTGATATTCAAAGACATTCGTTGGCAACCAAGGCTGTCTGGAAATCATGAAACATTTTTTTCAGAGGCTTGTGAATGTCCTTGCAATCCGTGAAAAAGTTAGAGTGTAGGTAGGCTATAGTCGCGAGTCAGAGTGTGCAGACTTCTCTGGCTCCACTTAGACTTAACAGGAGCGCATGGTTTTGTATTCTGACTTTGGCCAAGAATTGTGATCAGGCTAAACATTTACTGTATAATTTTTATTTGAGTCGCAAACTTATGGAGCATTTGTGGAAGTTCTGTGCCAATCTCAGTAGCTCCTCTGTCATACCGATTTAGTCCAGGTCTTTAATACGGGGTTTAATCTTTTCGAACGAAGAGTTTGAATAAGTGATTCTCAGACAAAGCTCGCTAACGAGTGTTTGTTTCTTTTCCTCTTCCAAGTCTTTGTGAATGCTGATGTTCTTTTTGTGGTTCTGAGGTAATTTGCTGTGTTACACTCCCTCCAACAACAGAGCTCTGACTTGTACCACTGCGACGCAATGGCTTGTGTGAAGCCTCTTTATGGCCCTCCCGGTGGATAAAACGTCCGTCTTACTCTCCACACTGCCTCCCTCCATAAATTTTACTTTTTATTAGCTTGACAGCCATTTGTGTGAGCTCACAGTCAGGGGCTTGTGCAGGACGGACTCCCCGTTGCCCCTCTCAATCGCCATCCAGCTCAGGAAACATTTTTGGCCTGAAATGTTATCTCTTTGATGGTCACTTTCTCTTGCCGGCCTCTCGCTAACTTTCGCCGCAAATTCGAGGTCCTTTCACATTAGCCTTGACTCTGAAAGCTTTTCATCATTTCAAAGAATGACAAGCTGGGTACAGTGGACTTAGCCAGGGCCTCTGCCCCCTCCCCCACTGCACACCAGCGTCACCAGGCAACACTTCACAAAAGCCCCCCTGTTACGAAATAGCTTTTAGCATCAATTGAAATGACTTTCTTTTGTATATATGCCTGAAATTAATTGGAAAGAGTCGACACGTTTTCAGGACATTCGTTTTTCACATGTAATCTGTGGAGGTAACAGCTGTGCTCAGTTTAAAAAAAAAAATAACATTGAAAAGCCATCATGTAAAATGTCATAAAAGGTAAATCATGGACAAAAAAAAAAAAAAGAATGTATCCAAGTATTACATATGATACTGCTCTAGAGCCCACAGCCGGTGGTGTTACAAATCAATTCATGATGATAGCTTCTACCCTTAAAATCCAAAATGTGTGCTTTACTACAGCTCTCACGGTAGACTTCTGAGTGAGACCTAGATGAAAAAGAGACATCAATCAAGGGTGAAATAGGAGAAGCGAGAGGCTGCTCGTAAAAATGTCTCTTATTGTACTCCTGCCCCTGCTCGGTGAAAATAAAACTTCTTATTTCGTGTGAATAAATGTTGGAAGTGCTCAGAGTTGATCGGAGCAATGTGAGCAGTTTTGGAGGAGGCTGAAATGTTTCATGTCACTGCATGGTGGAAGGGGCAGCATCCACCGCGGTGCAAGATGTGAGAGTGATTTATAGAGTACTCATGCACACATGTGCATGTGTACGTGCATCAAGAGTGTCCATTGGTAGCTGGCTATTACCCTTCGACCTTCCCGTTTCAACCTCTTTCATGGCTTCCTGCTGGGGTGAACGGTGAAGCGCCATCCCAACCTCTCCTCGCAGCTCCCTTTGTTCTCTGAGCCAAGCCCCGCCCTCTCCGCACACCCTTTC